GTGAGCAGGTTTTCATGCTGATGGTCTCCAAGGTCAGTACAGTAGCATCCACACAAATTGCTGCATTGATTTCAGGAGCAGAAAGGTAAGCACAACTATAACTGTATACCAAAGGCTTTTTATGAGCACCAGTAAAATGAGTCCCAAACAGCCTGTGTAAGTGGCTAGTAGAAGCTCATCTTTCAGAATGAATTAATGGCATATAGAATGGCTTAGACCTTTTTTCCCCCTACATTTACTCCATGTGATTAAAAACTTAGATTCCCAGTTTCGATTTTTAAAAGGAACTAATTTTCAAAGAACGTAGTCCTGGCAGCCCTTGTTTTTCTTTCTGACTGCAGGTATTGCCACACTAATGAATATAGAGCTTTGTCTCCAGCATCGTCTATGTCAGCACCTTCTGAGGAAGTTGCAAAATGTCTCTAATGTCTGACTAATTAATTTCACCCAGTGGATGAGTTTTATGTGAATTCTCCCTCTTGTTACTGGGAATAGAAAATCCTTCTCAGAATAAAGCTGAATTCCAGTTTTCAATGATCCTACGTGTCAGGGGGCACCAGTGGTTAATGAGACAAGATTTTGAAATGGTCTTTATTTTGTTTCCTTATCTTTATTATAAACATATTTTTAACCTTCCAGTAACACTAGGCTTCCTAGTGAAACAGAAAATAGTATCATTATCTGTATCACTTCTACCAATTTACAAAGCCTTAGTATATCCTCTATTCATCTCTTTTCCTGTCTGTGCAGTTCAGCTCACTGAAATCTCTCTTCTCTCTGCCCCTATTAGTGTATTGATTTGTCATTGGTATTCCTCTGTTTCCACTAGATAGCTTGAAGGATGGGTGACTAAAACTGAGCAATGTCCCAACAGGATAATATGGGATATTTTCAAGAATTATTTCTGCTATGTATTATGTTATAGTTGAGGTTACTGAGGGACTTTTTCTAACTGATTGTATTTCTGTTCAGAAGACTGCAGTCTTGGAGTCCTGACATTTCATTTCTGTGTGCATTAATTCACATTTATCAATATGAACACTGAACCAGAACGTTCTCCCTGATTTTTCCTTTAGGGTATGGCATAGATCTGCTCAGTCTCAGTTATCTTTCAGTAATATATGCCTGTTTGACTGGAAAAAGTACCAGAAGCCATATATATCTATGCTCACATGAGTGCTCATAGCCCTTATATAACCAGGTATGAAAGCCAGAGCAAATGGTTTTGCTCTTTTGATCTTCATGTCAAGTACTTCAGCTTTTTGAAAATGATGGCAACTTTTAATTTTCAAGGGAACCTATGCAAAACAAACCAAAAATGTTAAGTAGATATGATAGAGTCATTTTGTAAAGACTCTGCCAAGTCACAATCCTCTTTTTTTACTTGCTGTTTTAAATTCCAGCTTTTATAGGACCAGCTTAGTTTTCCATTTCTGTGCTTCTCTCCTGTCACTTTAGTGATCTGCCTCCAGCAGGACAGTACAAGCAGTTTCCTTGCATGTGCCAAGGACTCTCTAGCTAGCTCCAAGCAAAACAAATCAAAGACCCCTGTGTGGCTTGAGGCCAAAGACATGACACTGCACATGTCCCTCTATCTCAGCTTTCTTCCTCCCAGCACAAACCGGTGATGCCCAAACTGCATTTCAGAGTAGCCTTCAAACACAACTGGGCTCAGTACTGTCTCTGAGAAGTCTCTGGGGCTAACAGACTGTGTCTATGGCCATGTCCCAGTTCTTCAGCCAGGGTCCCAGGCCTATTTCCTGCTATAAATGAAACCCAAATGGCTCAGCAAGCAACACAAAGGAAAAGAAAACTGTTTCTCTCTTTTCTTCTTTTGAGTGTGTTTAAATTACAAAGGAAGAAAAGTCATTAGAGCATTTCCTACTGAAATGCCAGGTTAAGAAACAGGACTGGAGCCTCTGATACCTGCAATTCACCCCTGAGGCAGGAGGAAACCTTCTTTTCATTTTCTGACTATAGTTTCAGTCCCTCATTAGCCTAACCCTTGACATAGCTTCCAGAAGCTGGGAAGCTGCTCTGCTTTCTGCTTCACACTGCCATGATAGCGCTGGGTATGTCAGAGGAGCTCTCTCATGCCTCTGTGCTGTAAGAAATTTTCCTGGAAGCAAGAGAGTACTCGACTCTGGGTCACTTTTTCCCTGCTGTGTCTCAGTAGTGCAGGACAAGCAAAATGAGGGCAGTAGGCTCAGCTGCTGGGCTTTTTTTTTTTTTCATACAACAAAATGAGAGGTAAATGTGAAAACTAGAGAGGGTTATTTCATAAAATATCACTACGCTATTAAACTGCTTACTTACTAAAGAGTGAGACCTTTATATTAGCTGAACATCCTGGTTTGTGTGATAGAAGAAAAAGTATTGCATAAACTAAAGTTTTGCTTTTATACTGAAAGCTGTCAGCCACAAATTTTGAGGTGTGATCAGGGAATAACATGGTCTTTTATATGCAAGGGATGCCATGAGTGTCAAAAGGTCCCCCTCTTGCATTAAAGATCAAGCTCTGGGAGCACATGAGAATAAATTCTTTGGTCTCAACAGCTTCAATCAGGTTACCAGAGGCATGTTGCCTAAATTCTGGACAGTGAGGAGCTCCCTAAGGGCAGTGTGGATCTATTCTGAGGCAATGGAAAGTACTAAGCACAGAAGTAGATCGCAGGGTACCCCTCCACTCTATAGTTCATGCACTTCCCTCTAGAAAGCAGCAATGTGGAACCCAGCTTGAGGGTGTACTTGATCACACTTTACTCTTTCATAAGGCAATGCTTGTAACTAACACTTGCTCAAAAAGGAGATATGGGAGATTGAAACATAAAGGCAAGTGTCCTGACTGTGGAGGTAAGGTATTCTCAGTGCAGGATAACAGTGGGGGCTGTGCCACTATGTGACTGGGAATGTGGGAGGCTGCTGGAGGTATAACTTACTGCTGTCTCTTAATTGCTGCAAAGCAGAAGATGGAGCTGCAGATTTGAGAGTGCCTACACTTGTTTACACTCAAGAAACATTGCAGTAGAAATGAAGGCACTGTATGGGTTTAGGCATCTCCCAAGTTGTGTAATTGCTGACAACATAAGCTTTTTGGATTGCTTTCTTGAACTGAGAAACTCATGTTTTACCCAAGTAAAATTCCTTTTTAGTCTTTGTTTGCTCTTGCCCTGAATCAATTAACTGCAGCTCCACAGGGTTTGATTTTCTAATACAAGCATGCTTAATCATTGATGTAAACCAAGGAGTTTTTTCTCCCCTCAGATTATTTTCTAATGGCTTTTTATTTCTTGCCCTGTAAGTGTGAGCCTGAATTCTCTGCATCTATTTATAAGGGCTTCCCCATTTCCAGGAGTGTTTAATCAAAGAGAAGGCTATCAGCAGGTGGTTAGCATCAAATGTCAGCAGCTACTTCTTTTCTGACATCTCTTGGAAAAAAATGTTTCATTACCATGCAAATGATGTTAGTTTTCCTTTCCAAGATCCATTGTCACACAGTGTAACATATGGTGCACAGAACTATGCTCCCAAGATTTATGCAGCAACTACATTTCATCACAGAACAGCAACTGTAAGAGCTAAACCATCAGACGACAGTCATCACTGCTTCCCAACAAGATGGTGAATATTTCTGTATCTCATGGGTCCTCTAACTTCAGTGGGAAGACTCACACACTTGTTTCTGCTTTCTTTTAAACCCTTCCTTTTTTTCTTTAGCTTTTTATCAGAAATACATGGTGCCTTTCACAGCCCACACCAGACAGAATAGCCTAGCAGCTTTAATGGGTGTTATTATCTTTCTTGAGTATGTCTGGAAACTAAATTATTCAGTTGATACTTGAAATGACCATGTCTTGGACTACACAAAAAAAATGGAAGCTGCTGGACTGATTTGGGATTTTTTGAAAGTGCCAATATATGGTAGTGGGAACTCAACTTTTCCAAAAGCTCTGAAATCCTGTAAGCAGAGTAAGATAAACCTCCAAGGGGTTTGATTCACTGGAGTACATTGATTCTCTAGAGTACAGTTCAGTGACTTCAGTGGGACTTCAGGATGTGTCTAGAGTTAAGCATATGTTTGGGTAAATTGTTAACCTCTAGTGTGTGATCAAGTGCTTTGCTGACTCAGGGACGAGACATATCTTGCAGCTTGTTGTTTTCCACTTTGCCATCTGGGAAGAGGCAGCTTGACAGCACGTGGGCTGTGTGAGACATTATTGCATTTCTGAAAAGGTATTAACAGCCTTGAAGTTTCCAGGTTCTCTGAATCAGGAATTTTTGTCTCTGCAGATCTAACTGGGGTAAAATAACCTCACTGTAGTGTCTGAAAGCAAACTAACTATGCCATAGCACTTTGCTAGATTATCAGTCAATCTATGCCTAATTAAAATAACCTTGTTCTAGTTGAACTACTAAAAGACGCAGATGGAAAGCTTTACAGAACCTGCAGGTTTGGAAGCATGAAATAGTCCCTTCGGATATTTCAGGAAGTCTCTTGCAACTGGACAACTGTAATAGCTCAAAGTTACAAGCACGTTTAATCACAGAGTCATATCTTCACTAGACCCATTTTCTGAACCAGGGGAACACGTGTATAAATGTATGAAATAGATGTTGTGACAAGCTGTTAAGGCAACACAGTCTCTTCTTGCAGCCAGGTAATGCAAAGGGAGTAGGTAATACAGACCTGTTATTGCATTTGTGGAGGAAGTGCAAGATATTTTGATCCCTTGATATTCCCCAATGATTTTAAATTCCCAAAAATATCAGGGGTTCATCTGGAAAATCTCCTGTATCATCAATCCCATCTGTTCAGCACACACTCTTCTTTTTCCAATCCGATACCCTTCCAGTCTGCCATGTAACACTCTTGACTTAAAAGCCACTTCTGTACTGTTGTGCTGTTTTGCATTTCTGATGAATGCTTACAGAGGAATAAATGTTGATTGTAACAATACGCATTTCTCTGTAGGAACTCTTTTTTTTTTATTCTTTTCCAGTGACAAAATGTTCCCAGCCTTTGGATTTGGAGCAAGGATACCTCCAGAATACAAAGTAGGTACATAGATGACATTCTCTTGTTTGACTGGTTTATGAAACACAAAATTAGGGAGAAATGGTTCAGTCCAGAGCAGGGGAAAGGGAGAGCTGCTCCTACTGCTTGTTTTCGTTCGTTTGGCTTTCTTACCCAGTGATACCTCACTGAAACCAGAAATCAAGGCTAGACTTAAAATAGATGTTTTACACCAAAAATATTTCATGGCATTGGCAAAGCTTTGTTAGTGGATGCTAATCTAGTAAGAGGAGGACTGGTTTTTTGAACAGCCCTTGTGAAACATATTTTGAAGCTTTGCAAGCCTCGGTTTGACAGAGCTGGTTTTGGAAGATGTGGTTCAATGAAGTGGCCTAGCGTCCATGCTTTATGAGGAAGAGATTTGACATCTTCCTTAAAAGAAAGACTTAAGAAGAGTTTTGCTGTGTGGCAAATTTCTGTGTCATGGTGGGCATCATTAATACCAGGAAGAGAAATAAAAGAGCATGCTGGGGAGAAGTGGTGGTTACAGCCAAAACAAAATGAGAGTGATCTACAGTGATGGTGCAATTGTGAGCATAAATATGCAGTCTGGAATGAAGACAATGAAATAAAAGAAGTAGCATCCAACAAAGAAAGGCATAAGGAGAAACAGGTAGAAGTTCAAATCCTGTATTGCACATGCAGAAATTGCGTGGGCAGAAGACTAGTTCTGTACAGATAAGTAGCCAAAAATTTGGTGGGGATTCTGCAACTCAGATAGTATCTGGAAAAGTAAAGCATTACTCTTGTGATCATGCAGACTTCATCCTGTATCCCTGCGTGCCCTGTTCTGGGTTGTGTTTCAGCCGTGGCTGGGTTAGGGAGTGGAACACTGGCCAGGTGAGAATTTCTGTGCAGAGAGGGATTGTGTGTTGTTCAGCATTGTAAGGCACGAATAGCAGATGAAAAAAAATACACCAGTGTGTTCCTTGTGGTTTGATACTTGCAGAAGAACAGCACTAGTGATGTACAGCAAATTTGATATATGTCTTGAGAACAGGTGTCTAAGGTAAGTTAATGTATTTCTTAACAACATTGCTTTCTAAGCTTGTCTGTGCCTGAAAAGGTGTTTTGCCATGCTGTGTTCCTCAAAAGTAATACCAGTGTTAATGCTTTCCAGGGTTCCAGGCAGCTTCCAGAATTTTGACATAGATTTTAATGTGGTATATGCACACAGAACATCTGTGTGTTGTATATCTGTTCCAACTGCAGCAGCTGACAGCCATCTCTGCTGTATAAGGGAGAGTGTTTTGGAGAATAAACATGGTAAGGCCACCAGACCTGTAGTGAAACACGGTAGCTACTTCTTAAGTGTCCATCCCTTTGCCATGAATATGGGCCTCCCTACCCACAACTGAGTAGTTGAGTTGACTAAGTTGGACTATATGCCACAACATCACAGCTCTTTCAGCCCAGTACTGCCCTTTCCTAACAATGCCATATGTACTATTGTTTGTCCTAAACAAAGGCACTGGCCTGATGGTGTGCCAGGGACTGGTTGTTCCATGATCTGCGAGGTGGCCATCATTGCATGAGGGAAAACTTGCAATTCTTTCAGCTGTTGTGAGATGTCCTTATCTAAGGACAGCTTGAAGGAAGGTGTTACTGTGCCAGCTGAAGCCTTTTCACTGGCTTGCGGGTGATGGAAGTGTAATAACGTTTACAGCACAAAACTGCTTCTTCTCGGCCAAAATAATCAGCCAGTGGCATTAATGCCTCAGGTCACAAGAGCATATTGGCAACATACCAGTTTTGTTAGACCCCAGCAACAGCCTCTTCACCTGACTGTAAGAGCATATCTCAGGTGTTACCTGAAAAGCAGATGTCTTGCCAGAAAGTGACTTCATGGGTCCTGGTAACCAGATATTCCTGCAATCGCCTACAATAATTGGTTTTCTGCTTTGGCAGACTTGGCTTAAAATAGACAGAGACTTGCATTGAACTTAGTAGTCCATGCATGAATGAAGAGTCTTACCCAATACCATGAGCTGTCCTGAAGATTCTGTATGTTACTAGCATCTCAAAGCAAGAAAATGGATGACTCAGGACCTTCAGATTTTGAGAAGTTCAGGAAAAACAAGAGCAAGCTTCAGAAGATGGGGCTACTTACTTGTGGATTACATATATGTGAGTAAAACAAGTACCAGAGTAAATGGAGATGCAAGTGAAGGCCAGAACAACATCTTTAATCTCCAGTATGGAAAATGGTGACAAATGGCAAAGACAAAATGACATGACATTAGCTTAACAACATAATAAAACTTTGAAGAGTATAAGAACCACATTGGAAGGGACTAGCCCTTCTGTGCAACAGATGGGGAGAAATAATCAGCCTGATGTCTATCATGGGCACATCCAGCTGGAACTGGATGAGGAATTGAGTGTCATCTGTGCTATTGTTCAGTTCCTCCCTGTGATACTCTACACAGTACATAAAAGTATCTGTCTTCTTAAAATAAACTGTATCAACATTTTAGAGTCCCTGCTTGGCTTTGATTTCACTTCTAAATTGAAAGATACATCCTCTAAGAGTGAAGACAGCCTCATCATGATGTATTTATAAGTCAAGACCAATAAACCTGAAAATCCTTCAGTAATTTAGTCTACACTGGTATAAAGTTAATTCAAAGCCAACAATGACTAGTGTGTAACATAGCAAAGATGCATAGGAAACAGAAAAAAACCTGATATAATTAAAAGTAACAAAGACTGTAGGCAAAAGTGCTCCCAAGTTTCTTCCCTAACAATACAATCTTGTTTGTATTGATTGTATCTTGTTTGTATTGATTGTATTGTTAGGAAGAACTCCTATTGTTTGGAATATTAATAGATTGTAGCTGCTGCAAAAATATGGCAACACATAGACACCACAGCAATACTGCAGATCTCATGCTATTCAAATGTTATTTTTATGTTTTCAGTCACAGGTATTACAAGTCATGCGTATGTTTCATTTTATTAAAGGAGAGCAGTATCATTACTGTATCTTCAAATTTAGGTTGAATCATTATGAGAGTTTTTGAGTTCTGACCCCATCATGTGGATAAGTCAGCTTTTCATTAATTGACAGTGTCTGCTTTTGAGCCTTCAGGACTAATGAAGTGATCTAGCCTGCTCATAGCAAGTTGGTCTCTGCACTCCAGCATCTGGTCTTTTATTTCTTCCAGTAGACAACAAATTTCTAGGGCTGTGGAAGAAATTACTCCCACTGCCAAGGGTTCCTAAGTAACCATGAAAGGCTCCATACAACCTTCCTTCCTGAACAATGTCAGTATCCATCTCTGCAGACTCTTCATAGATCTCTTGAGGTTGCATCCCTTTAAATCATGTTTTTATATATGTTTTCAACAGAATTTCCATTTCAAGAGCACACCATTTTGTTGTGTTGACTTTACTTTCCCTCATTTCAGCTCCAAATGACACACTTCAGCTGTTAGCAGAAAACCAGCAGTTTCTTAGTGGCATAAGGAATCTGTGGGAGTGAAGGAAGCAAGACATGCCATATATAACATTCCTCATCAGTCTAGAGATCTTTCATCTAATATTTGGCAATATGATCTTTTTCCCCCCAAGGCCTGACAAACACATCACCCTGCTCCTTGATCTAAGTAAACCTCTGAGAGCAATGTTCCCCTCTTGAGTTTCTAACATACAAAACTTGCAGAACATGCCAGTTATTCCAGAGTAGTGTCTACAGCCCATCCCTTTTTGTTTCCTTGTTTGTGGGAGGGTTTTTGGCTTAGGTTTTTTGTTTTGTCATGTTTGTTTCTTGGGGTTTTTTTGCAATGAGAAGTATCTGAGAAGTCTGATGTAAAGTGAAGAGGTAATATATAAATACGGACCCAGACACTTCTGCGAAAGGTCACAGTGAAGAAGAGGGAAGAAAGCTAACCACACACTAACTTCTTAGCAGGCAGAACTCAAAGGAGCTGACAAGCTACACAGCAGCACAAAAACTACCATTAGAACGAAGAGAAACTTCAGATGGTGTCAGCCCCATGAGACGTGTATTGCCAATAATGAAGGCCTCTTTGCTAAAGAAGAATTGCAGGCTGAAACCTAAATAGGTACTAAACAACTTGCAGTTTGTTTTAAGACAGTCCTGGTTGTTTCTACATTTTTAGTGAAAGCTTCATTCACTGCTTATAATGTGAATGTGTGGTGGAGAAAACCTCACTGCAATTACAGACACAGTACAGTACAAGCTTAAACTGCTGGTTTGTTGGACAAGTAAGGGACTTCAATGGTCTTTGTGATTCCTGCACTTTTCAGGAGCTTGAGGGCAAAAATATATGCAAACCTGACAAAAAAAACCCAACAGAAGGATGTGTAATGGACTAAGGGACAAAACAGGAAAATAAATAGCTCAGCTTTGCCAAGCAGAAATGTCTACACTGTGGTCTTAGTGGGAGACAAGCTGTCCAGCTCCCAAACTATTTGATTAATGAGCATTCTGAAAATAATAGCTTTTGAGCAATAGTTCTTTAAATTTGTTGGTGTCTTAAGCTTTTGCAAAATATGCAGGCATTCCATATTTAATTTTCAGACTGGCAGTGGCTTAATAGTGTTCCGTTTATTCATAGATAAGTGTTCAACATTGTGCATCTCAGCATTTGCACTTGTATGCATCTATTGTTCATGAATATTTGACAATCTATTTAAATTACCAAAAAAGCATTCCTAAACGTGTCTGAATTTGTCAGATTGTTTGTCAAGTAGTCCTAGTACCATGACCATAGAGGTTTCTGGAAAGCTGGAGCTATTTGGTACAGGAAAGTTAATTCAACTGAATTCAACAATATGGAGAGGGGCAAAAAAGGATTACTAATTTTCAGAATTCAGGCATCCATATTCAGCATTTTCAAAATGAATTAAAACTGCAGGTTTTTATTTAAAATGTGAAGTTCAGTTAGAGTAAAAGGGTTTACAAAAATGTGAAGGCCAAAACAGCATAACTGATTTCAATGGAACTTAAATAAAACATCTTTGTGTGGTCCAAAAACTTTCCAGCAATTTGGTTCATGAATTTGGAGGGTTTTATTATTTGTCAGATTCCAAAGTAGGTGTTTTGTTTGCATTTTGAGTTTTCTGTCTGAGAACAGAATACTTTTTTAAAAGAAGTCTCAAGAAGTCTCATTAATTAGGAAATTCTTTTACTTCAGCCTTGATTAGAAGCCTTTTTAGAAAGGGCCAGGCTATGAGGATGAATTCTATTCCATCTCAATATGGGGGCAATAAGTTACCTGCTATGTTCAGTCAGGTGATTTTTCTACTAAAGTGGTAATAAGCACGTGGAAGTATGGTTATGATTCTTCCAAGAGTCTCATGGGTGCCATCACATTGATGGAAAACTACAGCTGCTTGTCACTGTATATGTACAGACAACGGAGGCCTTGTACAGTAGTAAAACAACATTACCATAATCTGCCTTAGAAAAACTATTTTAGAGTGTTTATTTAGTTGCCATATCCTCAGAAATGCTGTCATTGTAATTTCATTCATGACATATGGTAGAGCAACTTATTTCGGTTGTTTAAAACCTTGAATAAATTACCTGAGAAAAAATATGTTCCTGGTGCAGGAAGTTCCTGGACAGCTGTGGTTTAATAATCCCACATCCATAATGGCATCTGCTAAATAATGTATCTGGAGTCCTGCAGAGGGAAAAGATTAATACATAGCCAAGTGCGAGTAAAGAGTAAGTGCTGTTTTGTGTAGCAACCCAGGTGACACCAGGCTGACCACATATCATCACATCTGCATCCCAGAATTTCCCTCTCCTTCCCTTTTCTGGATTGATTTTAGGGATTGATGTTTGAGAGAAGAGGAGGGCTGAGCAGAGGGTCAGTTACATATGTCTGTTCCCCCTGAGGATTTCTCAGTCTTCAGCATCTTATGTGTTCACACTTTTTCCTCCTTTTTCCCATTAGTTTATCCATTCTGGGAGTGCCTAAGGGATGTCATTCAATATCAGAAAGATGCCATTTAGTATATGAGGTTTTGGTGCTCTGTCATCAGCATGGATTGCCTTTCAGTCACAAAGCCCTTGCATGTTTAATTAAAAAAACAAAACAACAAACAAGGAGAGAAACTCATTATCTTGCACTGTTTTGAAAATAAAAGCATTGAATGTTTGATCCAAACCAGCTTTTGACATGGGTGAGCTTTACATAGAGTCCTTTCAGGTAGCAGCCCAAGTTCAGTAAGGTCTTCAATATGTCATGTGCCTGAAGTTTCTGCTGGTTTGGACACAGCACAGGGATAACACAGTTAGTTTTACTTAACAGAGTGGGGAATGAGTTCTGAACACTTAGAGAACACTACTTTAAAAATATCTGCAGCTGACTTTGCCTTGGGTGATGATTTCCTGTTTGTGAACCATCACCGAGCTGCTCAAAGAACTTCTCTCCTTCCAGTTATACTTAAATCTTGTTTAAATTGTGATATATTGCTCAGAGAGCAGAGAAAACAAGCCAATGCTTCTGCACATTCATTGTGTTTCCTGTCCTGCCTTTAGGGTACATTTTAACACTGTTCTGGGAGAAATCAGGATGACAATGTATGAGGGCCACTTGCTTTAGGAGGATAGCAGCCATTGCTCAGACAGTATTATTTTTTGGTTCATGGCACACACTGACTGGACTTGGGCTTTCCTTATTGGCCTGAACTGTTTACATTTTTCTTGAGTAATAGTCTGGGTGCCATTCCTCTGAACCAGATAAATTGTTTGCATTATGTGATCCTGAAAGAGGTATGGCAACAAAAGCATTCAAACCATGCTTTGTGAGATTAAAATACTGTATTCATAGCTTTGGAAAATAATTGTGATTCTCCTTTAGGTATAATTTCAAGTGCATTTGGAATAAAGAAATGAAATCACTGAAGAGGCACAGTGTCGGAAGAATCAGCCTGTAATACATAAACATTCATTTCCACCCTTCTTGCTTTTGAGATGCAGTTAATACAAAATAAGAAAGCCTAAAGGAAAATGAAAGGCTACTGAACAATAACAAAAAATATCAGTGAGTGGAAACTTACATAACAATTCTTGACAGCTGCAATTACCTTTGGCCTGCAGCTGGTCATGAGACTGGCAGATACAGCTGGGCAAAGTGTACCAGGAGTCGTCCAGAGCAGCCAGACAGAATGGCTCTGGAGGACCTCTGAAGCATATCTGGCAGCATATCTGTGCCTGCTCAGTGGGAAACATAAATAGTGACTTTATGCATTATCTTCCATGGCCAAGTAGGATAGCCTGAAAGGCCCAAGTAAAACCCTCTTTAAGAGGCAACCAATGCTTGGTGTAGGTATACTGAATTCCTGGCTAGGCTGAGGTGGCTGCAGACTTTTCAGGTTTTGCTTCAATCCTTTGCCATCCTGGTAGAAGTACTGCTTTATTTAACCTCTTAATAAGTGGTGGTAGGCATTGCCGTGGTGAGTAAGGCCAGCATAGATGATGGGGAAATTAATTTCTCTATGAGAAACTCTCTTTGGCATTAATTAGCCAACTTACACCACTTCACTGTCACAGAAGCTTCTCTGTGATCATGTATTTGATTTATGGGTCTCTTAGTCATAGCCCAATTTCCATGCTGTGTTGTTGAGGCATCTAAACTGGTAAAGAAAACGGTAACATCCAACAAATAAAACTCTTTCTGCAAATAATCCAGGTTCCACTGTACAGGGACTAAACAGGTTGCTTTCCATTTCACTCTGACTGTTGCCACTTTTGAAGGTCCTGCAGAGATCTGTAAAGATTTATATTGAGAGACTTACGGTGTCTCACATTATTTAGGCATGCAGAAGTCTTGTGTTATTTTCCCAGGGCACTAAAGATACACCACATTGTTTTATTAGAAAATCAGTGACTTTTTTGTATTCACAGTCATTTCTTTTAGAAAATAGCTCTGTGGTATTTTATGATAGATTGAGAAAGAGAGAGAGAGATTGGAATATTTACTAAATTTGAGGAAAAACAAGAGTCTTCAGATATTTTATTACTTAATTCCCCCCAGACTAATCTAACTTCTTAAGCAGCGTAGATTCCTTACATTTTTACCTTATTATTTCACAGGGGGTCCAGGTGACTTCCTTGATTTCTGTGGAGAATTACTTTCCCAGTATTCCTCAAATAAGGAACTGTTCACTCCTGTGAGGACAGGGTGCACAAGTGAGCTGAGTTTCTGCTGTCAGTGCTGTACCACAAACTGCTTTCTCTCTTGTGCAGTCTGAGGTGCCAAGCTAGGCAGAGCTGGCATTTAAATTGCCTCAGCAATAGATTCCTCTTCTGTGACTGGCACTGATAGCCCAATCCTGACACCGTATTTATGTGCTTTCTCATGTACTTGGGTGCATTTTCTTTGTCTTACTTTTTTTCTTAGTTTTGTTGTTGTTATTGACAAGTTTGATTCCAGTTTTGTTTCTGCAGGGAGTTCCAGCTGGGACTGTATTTCACACTTAATGCCTGAAAGCTTGAAAGATCTCAGGTTTAACACAGAAGCAATGTAAAGGGTGTTTGAACACAATCCTTCTGGAATAATTTTTCTGACTACAGGCTTCTTCTCTGCTTTCCCTTTATCTGCAGGTCTCTCATGACTTTGCAATCAATTTCAATGAAGACAACCCAGAATGTGCAGGTAACACATTAAGACAGACTACCATGTTTTTCCTGTGTGCAAAATGTGCTTGCATTTTTTATTGTATCACCTGAGTATTATTCAAGGTGTTGTTTTTTTAAAGAAGGCAGTCAGGATTTTCAGACCTGGCAGGCTCCAGGCCATCAAGCTTAGCTTTAGAAACCTTAGAAAGTGCCATACATTAATTACCTGAAAAATAGGTCCCTCTGAAAGTACACCATGGTGGACATTCAGCACTTGCACTTCCCAAAATCACTAGTATTTCTGAAAACTAAAGCTCTGTCTTCTAGATTCATTCAAGACCTTCAGCTACATCAGCATCATAGGTTGTGCAGCTAAGCAGGGCTGGACACGAAAAATCAGGTTCAGCCTCTGTGATCAAAGATTCCCTTGGTTTAGAGACAGTTCTTTGAACAGACCTAGAGCAACAGTAGCCTGCTGCAAGTCAGCCCAGCAGTGTCCAACACCAAAGGGTCAGGGAAGCAGCTGAGTACTACTGTGGTAGAAGGAAATATCCTTTCCTGCCAGCAACTGCAGCAGGAGGCTGTTTTAACAATGTAAGATATTGGTGTGTTCTAGCAACAACTGCTAATCTTTGGTAGGCAGAGGCCAGATTCATGTAGCAGATGCTGCTGTATGTCTTGTATTTTTAAGTGAGATCTGCAGTGACTGATGTTGTCTTTCAAAAATCTCCTGTCACAATCCACACATTTTGTAAAATACTATGACAGGAAAATAAATAATCTCTCAACATTCTAACAAGTAATCCCAGAGTAACAGTTGAAATTCTTGGTCAGATGATCACTGCTGTCTAAAATCCACAGGTTGTTATTCTCCCTTATCATTCTTCTTCTATCCAAACACCAAAATGGATATTTCAAAATGCTCTTTCAGTTCAAATTTTCTAGCTGCTCCTTTTAGCCCTTCTCAGACTTGCTTATTAGTGGCTTTCTTTCAGGCACAGTCAGTGAATATGTTGAGGCTGATAAGTAAGATGCAAGAAATGAAGTGAGGGAAAGAAGAAAGAACAAGCAATTCA